AGAGCTGTGAGGTCATGATCTGAGCTGGTCAGATGCTTAACTGACTGCACCACCCAGTCTCCCCTCACATGTATTTTTTTTTTTTTTTTTTAAAGTAGTAAGTATGATGTTCTTTTCTTCTGAGGCATCTTTTCAAAGACAGGAATATCTCCTCTGTACTCTTACTTTGAAATCCAAGTCCAGGAAAAAGATAGTGGTACACATTAGACTTCTTCACAAAAGGTACCTATCTTGCCTTAATTTAGGAAGATAATTTGTTACAGAATGAGAGATTCCTATCCTTTTATTAGATTTTTAAAGTGGCAGCTCTAAGGTCTTATTACAATGTGTAGTTTTAGGAAAACAATCCTACTTTTTAACACCCATAGAATTTGCTGTTAACTCCTACATATGCTTCTAGTTTTGATTATTGTATCTGTCTGTGGCAGGTGGATATGTTAAGTGAAATTAACATTGCACCCCGGATTCTTACCAATTTCACTGGAGTGATGCCACCTCAGTTCAAAAAAGATTTGGATTCCTATCTTAAAACTCGATCGCCGGTCACTTTCCTGTCTGACTTGCGCAGCAACCTACAGGTTATTGGTTTGACTTTCAGCTGTGTCTTTGGGTGTCCTGTTTGGGGAAGTTCGTGTTTTCAACCAGATTTTAAAATTTCTCATGGTTGGAGGAGATTCACTGAATTATGCATTTTACTAGTTCATCTTATCACTGACCCAAAGCTATAGCCTTAGAAGAGGCAACCAGGGGATTAGGCTGATTTTCTGTAAGAAACATGGCTGATCATGGCTCCCTGTCAGTATTCCCAAAGGTGGTAGTGGTGGTTTTTAATGTTTATTTTTGAGAGGGGAAGAGAGACAGACACAGCATGAGTGGGGGAGGGAGAGAGAGAATCCGAAGCAGGCTACAAGCTCTTGGCTCTGAGCTGTCAGCACAGAGCCCGATGTAGGGCCTAAATCCATGAACCATGAGATCATGACCCAAACCAAAATTGGATACTCAGCCAGCTGAGCCACCCAGGTCTCCCCTCAAAATTGTTCTTAATAAGTAGATTCTGGCTTAGTTTGTTTAGAAAAGGACTTCAAATCGTGTTTTTCCACACCAGAGTACCATTCCCCACCCCACCCCACCCCTTTTTTTTTTTTTAAGATTTTAAGTAATGCCCACACCCAACATGGGGCTTGAATTCACAACCTCGTGATCAGGAATCTCACATTCCACCAAGTGAGCCAACCAGGCACCCCTCCAGATATTTTTTATAATTGAGATAATATATTGACTTTATAAAGTTTATTTATTTTGATACCCGTTAAAGCTTTGCCTTCCTGTTACTGACACAACCAACCATAGACAGCTGTGTTATTTGTTCTGCAACCTCACAAAGTCCAGTAAATTCCTAAAATTTAAATCACAAAGAACTCTTGAGAGCAGTTCAACTTTTTTATGAAGGCATAAAGAGAGTTTAGAAGTACTGAATCCTCTGTGAAAATAAGGGGCTTTCTATTTTGTTCATTTAGGTATCCAATGAGCCTGGCAATCGTTACAACCTCCAGCTCATCAATGCATTGGTGCTCTATGTAGGGACTCAGGCCATTGCACACATCCACAACAAGGGTAGCACGCCATCAATGAGCACGATCACCCACTCGGCTCACATGGATATCTTCCAGAACTTGGCTGTGGACTTAGACACTGAAGGTGAGTGAAGCCAGCCAAGTCTCAGAGTTAAGTTCTCTGTACTGTTTGCCAGTCTGGTCATAGAAATACTTTTAAGTTGAAACAGACATACAATATTTTGTCAGTACATTTATGGCTCCAGCTATTGTCTTCTTGGGGGAGTGGGGGGTGGGGAGGGCTAGGAAACTCTTTTGTCATGAGTGTATAGTGGAGTTTTCCAGATGCTACAGGAAACCATACTGAAACAGATTGAACACCGGAGTGGAAGAATCCAAGTGTCTTCTATTAAATGACGTTAAAGAGATCTGTGAAACGTAAAACAGTGATATTCTTCCCTAATTGGGGTGGGATGAATGCTTTAACGTGTATTCACATGCAGTGTTTTTAAATATTTCTAAAAACTGTAATGTGGAAAATAAAAAAATAAATAAACCTCCCCCAAAATGGAAACATTGGGGACCGGAGAAAGGATGTGGGAAAAGCCAGGGTCCCAAATCCAACCCCTAGCCGCCACTCAGAATGATGTCTTTTTACATTGGCCTCTCAGAGCAAGTGTGTAATAAAACTTCATTTCCTGATTTTCTAGGTCGATATCTCTTCTTGAATGCAATTGCAAATCAGCTGCGGTACCCAAATAGCCACACTCACTACTTCAGCTGCACCATGCTGTACCTTTTTGCAGAGGCCAACACTGAAGCTATCCAAGAACAGATTACAAGGTAAGGGAGTTTTTCAGATGATTCCCAATGGATAGTAAAGGGGACAAGGCAACCATTAAGTGTTTTTTTCCTGTGCTGTCAGTGTTCATGGATATCTTTTTTGTGTCCATTTAAAACATCTTTTACATGTGTTAATATGGGGTATAGCTGTGAACAAAATGTTCATGGTTCCTACTCTGGTGGACACAAAATCACGAGTAGAGAATTGCAGATCATAATCATTGCTAAAGTAAAGAGTTTTCGACAAACGGTATAGGTATCTTGATTGAAAGTCAATAGTTTCTCTCAGATGGTGGTGAGAACTTTTTCACACAGGCCTATTAAAAGCCATTTTGTTAAAGAGCTTGGGCTTTTATTCTTCATCCTCTAGGTGGAAAGTTTGCAGGAGAAATAAACAGGATTATACTTGCGTTTTCCAAATGATAGTCCAAGCAATCTATAGCAGTTTCCTAAACTATGTATGGCACTGGAGATTAGGCAATGGGTAGACTCTGGTGAGAGAGACAGAGAGAGAGAGAGAGAGACAGAGAGAGAGAGAGAGAGATACATTTAAAAAACTGGACCAGACTTAAAACTGGTCCCTCACTTAATAGTTTGTGTATTAGATACAGTATTTTATCTCAATAATATCCTTGTGATTATTTTTACATATACACAGGTAGTAGAATTCATTTCCTTTCACGGAGTAGACATTCCTTAAGTAGCTTTCTGTGAGCTATGTAATCTGATACGATTATCCTTTAACTTAGTTTTCTAGGCTCACTAATGGGAAGAGGCAGAATTCAAACCTAGGTTTTCTAATTGCAGGATGCACATGCATTAACCGTGCTATATAGAGTTTAGACCTAATCCACCTGTCTTCAGTAAAGCTAATAACTTTTCATGTAGTTTATTAATCAAGGAGAAACGATAGGTTATAAAAGGTAAAGGAGAAGTGGTCATAAATTTCTGTGGTTCTCTGCATTAACTTCTCTTTTTTTCCCTTCAGGGTTCTCTTGGAACGGTTGATTGTAAATAGGCCACATCCTTGGGGTCTTCTTATTACCTTCATCGAGCTGATTAAAAATCCAGCGTTTAAGTTCTGGAACCACGAGTTTGTACACTGTGCCCCAGAAATTGAAAAGTGAGTTCAAAGTAATTTAATTGTCCAAGGATGAGAAACTGATGATGGCTCTAGGGTGGGTGATTAAGAGGGTTAATAATAGCCACAGCTAATGTGACACAAGGTACTGCCAGGCCTGAAATGTTATCACAAACTTGTGATTGTCTTTTTTTTTCCAGGTTATTCCAGTCGGTTGCACAGTGCTGCATGGGACAGAAGCAGGCTCAGCAAGTAATGGAAGGGACAGGTGCCAGTTAGATGGAACTGCCTCTCTGCTGTAAATGTGTCAGCCTGGAGGTCCTACTGCACCAAGTTCATAAACTGGCTGAAAAATCCTTTCAGCTCTTCCTGACTTTCCCAGCCCCTTGGTTCTCGGGTACCTGTCCCAATTACTGTTTGGGTCAGCTTCCTGTGTATGTGGGCACGTTCCAAAGTTTAAATGCATTTTTTTTGACTCTTGGCCAAAATTTAGAACATGCTGTGAATATCATTTTGAAGTCATGTAAATATATGAGAGAGAGAAAACTTTTGTCTGGAACTTCTTGGGTTTGTGCAAAATATGTCCAAGGCAAGTAGATAAACTGGTACCTGCCCAGCTTATAACTGAAAAGGCTGCTGCTGCCATCCACTTGTCTGGGGACAGAACATATAACTCCATGTCTTCTGACATTCCTGGTGTCCCAAAGAATAGCAAAAAAGCCAGTTTAAATATTGTGTAACTTATTTTTTTAATGTGGACAGGGGACCTTGAAAGTCACAAAGTTGTTAAAAATGTGTTATGTGCTATAATTTGGTATGCTTTAGGGGACATGGGAAGAGCTCACAATGGAGATCCCATGGGTTTTTGTTTTGCCTCTTCCCCAAATCTGCTGGGAGAGCATCATTTTCTCATTTCTACTAGAGAATCTGCCCCCTTAGGCCCTGGGAGATGCAGTCAGCTCTTTTTGTAAAGGGAAACCAGACCAGGCCTAAAGTGCCCCGATCTTTCTCCTAATACTTGTAAATTGTGGGAAAGGGAGCCAATAGGGTATGAATTGCCCTTCCCCATTATCCCAGTGAATAGCCATACAGGCTATGTTGAACCACCACGAAATCAAAAGGACCAATACAGCCCCTTTTGTAAGGATTTTGAATGTTTTGTAAATTGTATTGGTCCGTGTGTTGTATTTTGTAGCCTTTCTAGTTCCTGGGCTCTAGCTCCCATACTTGTATGTGTATGCATACTGTAGTCAAACATTAAAGTCATGACACACATGTGAGTCCACTGTGCCTTTCTCAGTAGCAGCAGCCAGTGCTGATGGTGAGGAAAGTGGACAACCCAGCCTCGCAGAGCCTGCGGCCGTTGGGAAACATCACTTCTTGCTGAATGGTAGCTCTTTCCCATGAATCTGGCATGTTTAAACAAACAAGCAAGGAAGTGAATTTTGCAGTGTTTCAACAGTTAAAAAAATTGTCCCCTGGTATTTTGATATATACCTACTCGTTTTAAAAAGTATTTCAAATTTACACTATTTAAAATACCTTTAATAACTCAAGTTTTATGGCCACAGAAGACAAAAAGATTCAAGATTAAATAGCAGAAATCTTAAATGAGTGACGCTTGAATGTCATTGGTATCTTAGGGTTTCTTCCCTTACTGGTGAGCTGTGCTACACAGAGGAAACTTCCGACTCCTAAGCAAGTACAGTAATTGCTGAGTGCCAGTGCCCTGTCATAACCCGTAACAGGAAATGGAAGTTTTGGGGTGGGAGGAGTAGCTTGTAGACCCAGATCTACTTTCACAGTCTATGTTACTAAATGCTAGACTACACTGGGAACCCATTACTATCATTTCTTCTAACCTTTGGTTCAGACTGGGAACAAAACAGCTATAAAATTTGTGATCTTAGTAACAGCAATTTGCAAGTCTGCTGTGCCCAGTCCTTAAACAGGTCACCCCTTACCTCAGAGTTAACCCTAGCATACCACCGTTGCTACTTTTCCTTTTGGTATTTAATAAAAGGAAAAGCAAAAGACCCAGATTTTCCTTGTTTTCAATCATCACTGAATATTAGCTTAGAATAAAGTTCCTGTGGAAGGTCCTTCAGGCAACAGGGAACCTGCTAACTTGTCAGTTCCAACAGCTGATGTAAGATCATCTTCTGACCATAGCGAACCTGCAAGGCCTGCTGTTCCCTCCAGCTGAGCTTGGTGTAGACCTCCTTGTTACTTAGTAAATCTTGTTCCGATTTTAAGTCTGTGGCATAAGTTTGCAGGGTCAACAAAACACTGTCCCGAAGCAGCTGTCTCCATGATGCTTTCAGCTTGGGGATATTTGTGGTTGTCAAGCTCTCCTCTTCCCTTTTATCATCTCCCCATCCATCCTGGTCTTTAAACTCTCTGAACTCCTCAGCAGGCATGCATAGTACCTAGAAGCAATCATTGGGCCCTTTAATTATGAATTGCTGAATTTAGAGAAAAGCCAGCCCTATCCTGGCAGCATTTAAGTGTCCTCTCCTTCCATCCCACCTTTCCTCTTTCATCTGTTCTCAGCCCTTTACCTTGAGTGTGGTGATCAGTTCCTCTTCAGTTAGCACCTCCTCCCGCCCAATCACAAAGGCTCCCTCTTCCCCTACCATCTCCAGTTTGCATAGGAAATCCCAGCGTTCATACAGTAGGAGCCTTTCAGCTTCAATTTTTGTTCCTGCAGATAGAGAAACAACAGGGTGAAAGTCTCCGTATACCCAACAGTTCATTCCGTCTTCAGTCTACCACCCAGTCTACAAAAAGGGCAACTACTATTTAAGAGCACTTGGGGTGGGGATAGAGACATGTGTCCACCAGTGTCTAAGACTCAATCCGACACTCACCCAGTAATGCCGCTTCACGAACTGTCACCATCTGAATGTCAGCTGTGTCATCTGTGTTGTCGGGATATGGTTCAACAAACCCATACATATGAATCAGCTGCCAATTAGCCATTTGTCCGTAAGTGTTGAAAATTTCATGGCCTTTAGGAATGGTCTGAGTGGCCACCATCCGAAGACAATTCTGGGATGGAAGGGAGAAGCTGGGACTAGGCCATGCCCTGGCCCGCCCCACGAAGATCACTTCTGTTTTAGGAAAGGCCTCCAGTGGGTACAGTTCAGCAATGGGACTGATGATATACCTTCCAACATTCTATCTTTAGTTCCGGTTAAAATGCCTGAGGTACAGGCATACCTCAGATTGTGCAGGTTCAGTCCCAGACCACCACAAAAGAGCAAACGTGTTAAAAACCAAAAGGCAGGTCAAATGAACTTTATGGCTTCCCAGTGCATATAAAAATGATGTTTATGGGGTGCCTGGGTGGTGCAATTGGTTACGTGTCTGACTTTGGCTCAGGTCATGACCTCATGGTTCTAGCATTTGAGCGCCAAGTTGGGCTTTGCCTGGACAGTGTGAAGCCTGCCATGGATTCTCTGTCTCCCTCTCTACCCCTCCCCAGTTCACATACTCTTTCTCAAAAATACACTTGAAAAAGTTTTAGAAAATGTTTATGCCATACTGTTGTCTATTAAGTGTGCAGCAGTATTAGGTCCTAAAGGACAGAAGAAAAATGTGCTTATCTTAAAAATTTTCTTGCTAAAAAATGCGAATCACCATCTGAGCTTGCAGTGAATTGTAACTACTGATCACCAAAACTATAGAAATGATGGAAAAACTACGAAATTGTGCAATTTTTGCACTTGTAATTCAAAGTATGATACACAGACCTGAAGTACTGTAAAGTGACACTGACAGCCTTGCTCAACGCAGGGTTGTCACAGACCTTCAGTCTGTAAAAAGTACAAGATCTGAAGTATAACAGAACGAGGTATGCCTGTATAGCAGGATGAAAGGGGTAAAAGTCGCTAGCTTTTAAAAATGAACAATTAAACACAGATCAAAGTAGGATTGGCACATGGAGGCAAAGATTAATAGTCATTTCCTAATTTTTGATTCCATGAAGTCGGATCTGATCTTGCAACTTAACACATACCAAACAGAACTGATAAAACCTTCGTATCAAGTTAGATCTGACCTATGACCATCCCCTTTCCCCCCTCTTCTTCCCCAAGTGTAGTGACAGTATATCCAACCCACGCTGCTGTCCAGAGGGCCCCAACATGACCTTCGTTCACTGGCACTGTACAGAGAAGCCAACCTCTAGCACCAAATGATGACAGTAGCTTATTACAGAATTAACCACAACTGTGCATTTTGAAGTTTTGTGTTCTATTTCATTGGAATATGGAAACTCAAAGTACATACAGAAGAGCTAACTTCACCTATGCAGTTTTAGCATGAGGAGAATGGAACCCACTTAGCCCAACTGTCAGGGCAGCATTAACGACCAGACACTGGTATGAATCAAATGCCTGATCATCAGTGCACATAAGAACAATAACTGAGAGGGATCCACTCACTGGAGAGTATTCTAGATTGGCATTATGATTGGCTAAGTGGTTTAGTATGTCTGCAGCAGGCACCATCAAAGGGGAGTTTGGCTCCTTTTCATCCTCCTCTTCCTCCAGTGGTTCCTGAAAGCTGCCACAGAGAGAACTTTGCTAAAGCCCAGGGTAGGGTGAGAGACTGGGGTGTGGTTCACTGTTCTTTCCCCGCCTATCCCTCAACAGAGTTCTAAAGAAAAGGAGTCCTTCAAGGTTCGGCTCACTGACCTGTAGGCCATCACAAGAGCCACCAGCTGGTGATAGAGCTCCAAGGAGCGAACCCTGGGGCTGAAAAGATCCGGGTGGGCTTCCATGAAGGGCAATACGATGGAATAGTATTCGCTGCGGATGTTGGCCAAATCCTTCTCCACGGCCTCGGGTACCCCCGTGCCCTGCAGCAATCGCCGGCGCTCCTCCTCAGGCCTGCAGGGACACCCCACCCGGGCTCCCTTCACACACCCTACCGGCACTAGCGCTCGGGGGGCCGGGTCCCCGGGGCGGGAAGAGCCGCGAGGCTGCGGGGCCGGTGCCCCCCGCCCCCACCAAAGCTCTCACCAGAACATGGGGTGCTCCAAGCGGCCTAGCTCCGGCCAGAGCGCAAAGTAAGGGCTCCAGGGCGAGGCCGGGGCCTGCAGCTCGTGCAGCAGCGCCAGCAGCAGCGGCACCCAGCCCGACTGGCTCTGCAGCGCACCACGCTCTGAGGGAGACACGGAGGTGAGAGCACCTGCGCGGCCCCGCGGCCCGCCTCCCCGGCGCAGCCCCGCCGACGCACCCACCTCGCTCCAGCAGGCCGCCGATGGAGCAGGTGTGCTGCGACAGGAGCGCGGCCCGCGGCACGGCGAACAGCAGCTCCCCGGGCTGCACGCTCTCCCGGGCCACCATGCCGTAGCCGGCCACCGTGCCCTGCCGGCTCACCGCCACCTGGGCAGGGCAAGCGGCAGGTCAGAGCTGGCCTGCGACCCAGCCGCGTCCGCCCGCACCCCCGCCGCCTCACCTTGGGACTCAGCTCCAACCCGACCCGCCGGCACCAGCTCAGGAAGCCGGCCACGGGGTCCGGGTCCGGGTCGCCGCCCACAGGCCCCGCCACCTGGAACGAGCCAGCGCGGTAGAGAGGGTCGGCCCAGGAGAACGCGCGGGAAGCGGGAGGGCACCGCGGCGGCGCGCGGGGGAAAGTTCGCTCTAGGTGGGGGAGGGGACGAGGAGGGCGGCCGGAGACCCGCGCGAGCGAGCCTCGGGGACCCGCGGGGCCGCACTGCGGGCGGAGAAGGGGCGAGGCACCCGGAGAGGGGCGGGCCCCCCGCCGGCCCCCCGCGACTTACCCGCCGGCGCTTCGCCCTGGTCGCCATTGCGGAGGACGCGCGGCCCCACCGCTCAGAAACTCCGCGTGAGCGCTTCCGGCGTCCGGGAAAAGACCTCCCGGCGGGTGGGGCCTGTGTCCCCGCCCCGGCGCCACGTGACGCTCGCCTCCGGATTCCCGCGGAAGACGAGTAGGGATTTGCACCTGGTCAAATCACTCTTCTTGAGAATATGCTTGTGGAGCCCGACTGCCCCCAGTGGGGTTTAGGTCGTGTCCGGGAAGGCGTGTCTCTATGCCGCCTCGAGCCCTTCGGTCTCTGTGAGCGGAGACCTTTCGTACAAGTCCCGATGAAGAACAAGACTCAAGTTTTCCGGTCCCAGCGCAAGGGCGTCCCGGCGCACCGGCTGTGAGCGCACCCAGGTGGGCGAGCCTGCCTGCTTGTTCTCGAGTCCTCGTTAGCTACGGTCATCTAACCGTTTTATTTGTTCAGTTAGACCAGGTTGTGTGTGTGTTTCCGAGGGGTAGGGGAGGGTTCCCAGAACTAGAATAAAGCCCTTCTGCCCGCATTCGCTAGTATATCCGTTTTTCATCATTTGCATAGCACATGGTGGGTTTTATTTTTATTTAGATGCTTCTTTATTAGTTGACACATAGCAGGTACGCAATATCTACTTACTGAGTAAATGAGCGAATGAGTCAGAAATGGGGGTTAAACATGGGAAAGTAGCATGCTGTTAAGTTTCAGTAAATGAAGCATTGCATATAGAGGGTTTTGAAGCCAAACAATGCCAAAGCCAGTTCTCAGCTTGACTTATTAGGGTAAATTCCTTATCTTGAGGCTCTGTTTCCTCAGCTGTGGAAACTAAGGTAATATCTACCCTATGGAATTAATGTAAGAAATGGTAAGATAATGAATGTGATAACAGGAATTACGTGGGGCACATGGCTGGCTCAGCCAGTAGAGCGGAGGACTCTGAATCTTGTGATCTGATTTCAGGGTCCTGAGTTCAAGCCCCAGGGAGGGCTTAGAGTTATAAAAGAAAAAAGAACCAGAAGTAGAAACATGGATGGAAACTCCTACAGCCTTAACCCCATCTAAACCCCAAGATGCACCAGCTTCAGTGCTGTCTTCTCACAGGCTTCCCATGATGGGGCTGGTGTCACCATACTCGAATTCTTCTCAGTTTATTAGTTTTCCAGCACACTTAACTCTTAATACTTTGACAAGGGCTTTTATTTGTTTTACATTTTGTCATCTCAAAGTTTCATGACATCAGCCACCAGAATACACAAAATTAGGTTCTTCACTTTATATAGACAGGAAAATAATAAACTCCATTAAAAGTTCACTTTGACCAAAGAGACAACCTCCGATGGAAAACCACACGCAGGAAGACCCAATATACATATATATATATATATATAATGTATAGATATTTATAGATATCTGAAAGAACACAGAAAAAAATCCAAGATTTGTAGCGCTATCTACAGTAAGAGAGATTAATTCTACCAGCTTTTCAAACAGTCACATTTGATATTCAAAGGAAGCACATAAGTGAGTAGAACTGGGGACAGACTAACACTCCACCAGGCTCTAGAGCAGTCTAGTAATGGCTTAAGATTCTAGAAGGGGGTGATATGTGCAGAAATGTGAATGCAGGTGTCCTCTCAGCCTCAGAGCATCCCACACACAACTGTCCCCTGCACAGCACTGCCTTTGTCATTGCTCGCTCTCCCCTCTTTTATTGTTTCAGAGTTTGTGGCAATTGATTTAGGCTCCAAGACCAGTGGCTCTGGTTTCGGGGCCAAGAGATTCTCCCTGATAGTGCGGGTGGGTGGGATGTGTATGGCACAGTCCTGGGCTTCAGATGAAAGTAGGGGACCGGGGTGCCTGGAGAGCCTTTCTCCTCTGCCTGGCCTGTGGTCACTTCAGGAAACTTCACCTCCCACCCCAGGGCCAAGCAAGCCACAACCCAAGCTCCAACAGTCCTGAGGTGGTGATGTGCGCCTGCAGAAGTCTCACTACCTTAGACCACTTCTTTCCAGATAAAGTCTCTTTTTTCGTAGTGATGCCCACATAAAATGTTGGCATAGCTTGACCAGGACTCTCCCTAACAATGCCATGTTTCTGGTGGCCTTGGACACACTGCTGCTGATTGGGTTGTCCTCCATGGCACCTGGGGGCAAAAGAGGGGGTTTCCTGGGAGTCTCAGCCACCACTGCCTCTAGTCACATACTGGCTCCTGAAGGCAGACACCATGAAGTTCTCAGGGGTGCGTCTAACCCTCATGGGCTATCCCAGCATTTAAGTTCAGCCCCCAAGTCAGGCCCCTATGGAAATAGAAGATCAGGTAACTTTCTACCTCAGGGCCTTGGCTCAGTCATGGGACAGGGCCAGGAGGTGGTGGAGTGTGTGGTCTGGGACAGTCTGTGGGGTTCCTGCCTTTAAGACCCTCTGTGTTTGGTCTTCCTTGGGCAAGAGACACCCTGTTCAGCCCCTGCCTGCCTGCCTGCCTGGCCCTCCATCCAGGCCAGCCCAGAGAGCACCAGGAAAACTGCCGCCTGGTAGGAGTGCCCCCTTGTGGCTAGGGTTCAGATGATTGTCACATGTGCAAAAGACAGAAACAGATGTGCTTGGTGGTGGAGATGGGGAGAAAGGGACCCGCAGGGCTCCAGGGCTCCTACCTCCCAATGCTCCCCAGTGCCGTCTCCTGGCTCTCACCCCAGTGCCTGAGCTGGACCGCGGGCTCCTGCTGTCCCAGCACACCACCTTCAAACCCCATTCCGTCTTCAAACCTGCCCGGCCCTGCCCACGGGGGTCATCTCATGCCTTCTTCAGTCCAGGATATTACCCTGGATCCTGCCCAGATCCCCTTCCTCCCTGAACCCCGCCCGGACTGTGGGGAGTTGGAAGAGGGGTCTAAGTCAGCCAAGTTAACAAGGTGAGTGAGGGGGGGGTGGGGAGGAGTGAGCCTCTCAAACCCTCTGGAGACTGTTCTGCGGCAGCATCCAGGATGAATCCCCTCATGTTTTTAACAAAAGAGAAGTGAACCCATTTCCTCCCCTGGCCTTCACACAAATAAACTAAAGGGAAAACGAGCCGGCGCGAGGATGCCAGTGGTACGTCGATGCGGGCGGGGGCAGGTGTGCGTCTCTGCCACGCTAGGGGCTTCAACAGGACACCTCCATGGTGTGGTTGACCTGACCCAGGCCCTCGCTGCTCTCCGAGTGGGTGCAGGCCTGCGGGCGGCTGCCCTCCACTGAACCGGCACTGGTGAGCGACGCGGTACGAGAGCGGGCGAGGCGGGTCATGCTGGCCGAGGGCACTGTGGGCAGAGAAGGGAGCGGGCATGAGGACCGGCAGCCAGGGCTGGGTGCCAGCAGGCAGGAGAAGGGTTGACGCAAGCAAAGCGGCCAGCAAGACCCGTTCTTCCAACGGTGCAGAGGCCCCTCCCAAGTCAGGGCTCTGGCATCTACTCCGTCAAGCTGGAGGCATGCAGCACCAGCGCGTGAATGAGCCAAAGAGGTGGGGGACCGGGAGCCCTGCAGAGGCCAGCGGGACCCAGCGCACGGCAGCTGGCCAGAGCTATGGCCAGAATGGGGTGGGTGCCTGGGTAGCCCTGAGCTGTTACAGGGATGGGACAGAATTCCAGCAATGCCCCGCTCAAGAGGATGATGCGACAGGGGAGTAGGACTACTTCTGTGAAGGCGGATTAGGTCTGGTGGCCGCAAACCGCCCTAAATCTAATTTCTATCCTTATTTGGAGTTTCACAAGCAAGACCCTCAGGGGGCAAACTCCGCCTTCCTGAGCTGGGTAGCTGGCTACTGGTCCAGCTGGGGCATGGTCAGACACCCTTGCCCCCAGGGCCAGCCTAGGCTTCACCTCTGAGAGGCTCTGGTTCCAAATGCCTGAGCTCTGAAAGCCACCCAGAAGCCAGACTGCTCTAAACCCCAGCCTGTCCAGAGCCCTAACATGGGACACAGCCCACTAGGTCCAGGATCCATGAAAAAGCACGACTCTTTCGGGCTTTAGGAGGTGAGCAGAACACAAGAAAGTTCCAAACCACAGCAAGATGAGGCCCGGCCGCAGCGCTGCACAGAGGAAAGAGCAGGGGGGACTGGGGCGGGGGTCCATGCATCAGGGGAGGGGCCACAGGGCTACCTGCTCCTCCACTCAGCCTTCGGTCCTTCAAGTACGCAACTAAGAAAGAAGACAGAGCCAGAGGGGTGGGGTGGGGCGGGGCGGGGGAGACACAGAACACGGGTGAAGAGCGTGAGCTGGCAAGGCCGGGGTGTTGCAAGGGTCAGACACGACGACAGGCCGGGCACAGAGCGGGCTGGGGCAGGGCTAGAGCCTCAGGAAGCCCCCTCCTGCCCATCCACTGCGGCGGCGGCCCTGGAGGGAGCCCTGAGCCCACAGTCCAGGCACTCATCTTGCTTCTCAAGCCTGGGCTGCGACCCTGAGGGGCTCATGGCCACAGGCCTAGTGCCAGCACCCTCGGCCTTCTTCCGGGCCCCAGTGCCCCCATGTATAGAACAGGAGAGGCCCACACAACCTCCTAAATCCTGCCCAGCTCTCGGGCTGCCTGGTGGCATTTGGCCTGGGGTCCTGAGAACATGTCCCAGCCCAGCAGGCCCCGGGCTCAGGCCCAGCCTCAGAGCTCCTGTGTGGCTCGCTGATGGCTCTGGCCTCTCTTTGCCCCACATCCCCAGGGAGAGGCTGGCTGGGCCCCCAGCCTTCCCCCACAGGCCAGTCCTTCTAGGGAGGCAGAAGCTCCAGAGGGTAAAGTCCACAGGGAAAAACACATTCAGGGAGAAGAGTTCTGCTTCCAGCAGGAGAGCCAGGTATATGGGGAAGGGGGGGGGGTGGGGTGGGGGGGAATCAAAGCGATAGGGGTGTGCGCATGTGTGATTTAGAGGTGCCCATGAGCAGTCTGGGGATCTCATCCCCACGCAAGGGGCAGTTTGGAGAGGGGAGGACAGTGGGTATAGCCACCCCATAGCCCCTATTACCTTGGGGTCTTCACATACACCACCCCCAGTTTGGTTGCCTTTGGCTCCCTCCTAACACCCAGGTGGTCTCACGTGCCTTCCCCACGCCCTAGATTCCAAGACCACTCTCATGTCGCACGTACCATCCCACCACCTGTGACAAAAGCCTGGCTTAGGCGCCGTAGGCCTGGCAGGGGGCCGGTGGTATGTATGACTCATCTTTAGGCAGGCTTTCTGGGCAGGACCCAGCCCTGGGCTCTTGCCCCCCGTGGCTGGAGAAAGAGCCTACCGCTCCAATGCTGCCATGAGAGCACTGTCC